ATATACAACTGCTATTTAACTCACACCAATGCACACCCCTCCCCCCACAATTCTTAAATCTTCTCCAATGCGAGAGAAGATAAATTGTTAAGGAAACCTTCTCAGTGTTTTTTAATTCTTTTGAGAACAGTCTTGCTGTGTTGTCCAGGCTAGTCTCAAACTCAAGATTCTGCTGTCTCAGCCTCCCCAGTGCTAGGATTACAGGGATGGACCACCATATTCACTATTTACTTTTAGTTTTTAAGGCCGCATTGATTCAGGCCTAACTCTGGACTTTTCCTTGAATTTGAAAAAGGATGTGATCAATCTGAGCTCAATTATCTAGCCCAGTTCAGCTTGAATGAATATTATGGTATGGAGGCCCAACCAGATTGGACTGCACTCCATAATATGGGTGAGTACCCAGTTGCTTTACTGCTTTTTATTCAGTGTTTGGATTGAAGGACCACATAACATGTATGTTGGTAGGACATGATACAGATCATACTTTATGTCCAACCTTGAACAAGGAAACAGAGAAACTACAGGCCTACATGATAGTCTTTTTGTTAAAAGAAGTTAGTCCAGCAAGGGTAAACAATTTAGGACTTAGCAAACTTTGGCTAGAGTAGTTTCTCTAAAATTGAAGAAATGTGGAAAGTCTCCCACCTCCAAAGGCATACTTGATTCATGGGGATTTGATTGTTGAATGATTGAATAAAAAATGAGATATCTTAAATGTGAAAAAAATTCAAGTCTTGAGACCTTCAAATACACAAGACTATGGAATTTTCAAAATATTTAAAAGGTTCATATTTTTATCCTGAAATCTGATGTGTAAAGGGTAAGCACAGAACAACTGCTCAAATATTCACAGCAAAATCTGAAAAGGTTACTAGTCATCCTACCATACTTGATCTTAGCCAAAAGGTTGAGAAGTGGTAGTCACTGTAACATAGGAACACAAGACATCAGATCAAAGCAGATGTGATGCTCTCTTTGAGCATAACCTTCTTCAGGACAGGAATGTTATCTTTTTGGTTGATATTCATCATGATTTTTGACTCTACCTTTTTGTAGAGTTGCTGCTGTTGTAAAAACAATTTGAGCATATAGTATATAGCATCCATTTTTGGAGGAGCTGTGTTTTAGTCAAGCTTGCAGTGTTTTAGAGAGATATTTTAAAGCATGTAAAAACCTAATAATTATTATTAGATATCTACAATAGAAAAGTGGTAGACTCTTTAGGTTTCTTATAAAACAGGTCCCAAACTCAAAATATAGTAAGTTTTTAGGGGAAGAAATTAATGGAATCCTTCTGGCCCTAGTTGCAGATCAGATCAGTCAAATATATCATAGTATATAGTGATAGAAGTAGAGTGACTGGGAATTTTAGGCTTTTGGTTTCACCAGAGAATATAGTCGATTAGTCTGGTAAAATTATAGCTAGAACTAAGGCTTAATGAAAAGATAATCATAGCAATCATCATTTTTGAACACCTGTATTGAATTTTTTTGCTTCAATTTCTATTAATTGCAAAACAATTGGGTGAGGTTTAATGAGAGAGATTACATGGCTTGGAGGTATATGTGCTTCGAACTCCAATGGCTTTTTGAATGTTTGTAGGGATATGTTTTCATTAACTTAAGAATCTATTTCGGTAACCTTCAAGTATTTTCTGATATATATAACTTGTCTTCTATGATTTAATTTTATTTTAGAGCAACTAGAAGGAACATGACCTCAAGATGAAGATAAAGGTTATGATGACTGCATAGTAATGAAGACATTAGTAGTTCGAATTCATAAAGATTTAGAGACTAGATATCATCCACTTGGTAATGTCATGTTCTTTTTGGAATGTTTTTTCTTCTTTCTAAGCTGAGCCTTACATATTAAATCCTAGTGTTTAGACATCTACATTGTGGACTAATATCAACATCAAAAATATCAAGCATTCTTATGAGGTTGCAAAACAACCTTGTGACCAACACATTTTATTCCCTCATAGTTGAGTGAAATAAGGAAAATTTAAAGATATTTTGGAAATTAAACTGTACTGGTGGAAATGGATTTCTGCTATCAAATTACTGCTTTAACTGAAGAATCAGGTAATGAAAGGATCACATGAACTGTTCCCTGAGTACATTACTAGAATGTAAAGGGCTGAGGGCATTGTTTCTTTTTGACACACCTACATTCATTTACTTATATCACGGGTCCACACTACTTCTGCATATGAGAGATGTTAAAAATGTTTCTTTTAGAATGACATTTGTGGGGGGAAAGCTATGGAAAACTTTTCTAGTAAACAAATGGTACATATTGATATGATACAAATGACTCACTGGCCCTTGAACAAATTAAGAGATTATTTAATTTTAAAGTAGTATCTTTGTGCTGCATTTTCTCAGTAAGTTGCATGTAAATAATGCCTTGAACCTATCAAATTTCATGAGTTAAAGTCCATATACTCAACAATACCTGCTTTCCCCTCTTTATTGATCATGGTGGTTTATTGGTAATACCGACTATACCTCTCCTGAGTTACGGTCTTTCTTCAGCTCCAAATCTCACAAAGGTCATTAGCATGTTTCTTACGCTAACAGTAGCTACTCAATAAGTATTTGAGGAATAAAATCAGAAATGAGGAAAAACTTATATTGAGACTGGCAATATGAAACAATTTAGGAGTACTTCAATGTAAGAAACAATTGTGTTTTGGGAATTTTTCTTAGGGAAAGAAATAATAGTCCATTCATCAGTTTTAAGATATAAATCAGGAAACATAAATTATTGTTCTTAATACATATAACATGGCTTTCTCCTTTGTGATAGTCAATAAAGAGTGAGATCTCACAATTAGGAGAAAAGATGGAAAATTTAAAAGTGATGGAGAGGAATGAAGATGGAGATACCATGATGAGAACAGAGACACAGAGACAGTCAGCAATGGAATCAAAGAATGCTGGAGACCAATAGCAACAGGACAGACAGACAAAACAGGTCATCCATGTCTCTGTCAACAAGCACTACTGATCCACTTCAGTGTGGCTCCCAGACTTGAAGAGCAGTCAGAATTGCACAAAAATATTGCAGTTCAGAGGTACTCAAAATGACAGGAGAACCCTAGGAGGGAGAAAATCTACGGAAGACACAGGAAGACTTTATAGAAATGAGATGTGGCTGAGTCTTGAAGGCTGGTAAATGCATGGATGGAACTGGGGTGTATATGGGGGGTACATTTTGGCAGAAAAATCAATGGCAAAAGATTGTCGTGGGTGGAGCATAACATGAGTACATTAAATTGGCCAATTAAAATATAGTTGCTAAAAAATGGAGCTCAGGATATTTTTTTAAGGTAATAGTAGTTTTTAAATGCTCACTTGGAAATTCTAATACATAGCTATGAGTGATACGTGGTTAAAAGTCAGTTTTCAGTGAGGAAAAGAAATAATTAGATCCTTGTTTAGGAAGATCTCTTTGGCCTGAAGAGTGAACAAAGGAAGTGTGTTCGTGTATGGAGACTATGAAGAACTAAATCCCAGTCAAGAGTATAATGTATTACAAACACATCACAGAAAAGTCTGCATGTATACACATGGTAAATTCTCACTGAATGTTACAACCGAAAGTTATTAAAGTGCATGCCAGCTTTCTATTTGCCATGGGTCAAACAAACCCAAGCTGAAGGAGCTTATTTTAAAAGTCCTATAAGAACTCACTATTTATAAATACACCACTGTTCGTTCTTGTTTTATATTGAAGGACTTATTATGAAAAGAGCTATGGTAATATAATTCTTTCAACAGTTTTTTTGTCAGATGAAGCCACTTTACCTTGTTTTGAGGGTCACGTTTGCATTCATTAAGAATATTCTTACACTATTGTTCCTTGATAAATGGCAAATATTTGTCAGTTGAAAGAAATAGGTAATTAAAATACATTAAGAAATCAGAATGCTCATGTAGAATTTTTTCTGTATTATTTTAATTTTTCTCATTAACAATTATTAATATGCACAAGAAGATATGTTTTATTTGTAAAATAGCAATATGACCACTTTTAAAGAAATTTAGAGAGAACTTGGTCTTACAATTTCTGAATTGTTAAAAATTAATATATATGTATGGATAAGCTTGATTTAAGTTACTGTAGGTATTAGCTTGTTTATGTGCATATAGGTATTGTGCTTGTACGGACATATGTGCATTTTTCTATTTTAAATAAGGGATCTCCAGAGATTCACCTCAGAAAATCCTGTCTATCTTCCAAAAGAATATTTTTAGTTCAAATAAGTAAAAAGTGTGTTTTCTGCCACTTGTATTGTTTTAAGCCATTATCTAGAATCTCCTGAAGCCACTCCTTCAGAACTTGGTAAAAGGCACTCAAACAATTTCAACCTGAGTTCATCTATTCCTGAAGGGGATTGGATCACTTAGATTTGGATCAGAGGCACTCAAAATGTTCAACCTGAGATTCACCTATCACGCTTCACTGAAAAGGAACACCATCTTCAATTGCGTGAGCAGTGAAGAAAGAAACTATTTCTCTCCCTCCCTCTTCCCTCCCTTCACCCCCTCCCCATTCTTTGATTTGGGAGGATATTAATAAAAAACAAAAAACATCTTGCCAAAAGAAGCATTTGGCATGAAAGATAATATTATACCACCTGCAAACTAACTTTCCCTGATAGCAAGGCCACACTGTCTCTGACTTCTATTTCTATTCACGACACCTTATTTGAAGACAAACCTCCCAAAAAAGGTTAGGAAAAAACTTACAAAACCCCCAATACTGTTGTCATGATGATAGGGCTACTAATTAGCTCCCTTAGAACTCTGTTTCTTTTCTGGGACAAAGAAAATCATAACATTTGAGCTGTTTACCTAGTTTGGGAAACACCAATCTATTTCTGCATTTTTTAAACTCTGTCTACATTTTTTTACATTAAAAGCACATTTGGAAATCTGGTGAAGGGTATGAATGTGTTCCTCATAGAATTTAAAATTTGGCTACCATTATACAGGTTCATTTTTGGGAGACAAAGGGATCTCCCTAGAAGTAACAAATATCAATCATAGCTTTTCATTATGAACTGTAAGTTCTTTTTCCAAAGTAGATGCAAAAGTTAAAAATCTTCACCTAAATGGTATGAAATAATATGAATCAGATATATTTTACTTCAACAATCAGTTTTAGTACTTTTTCAATCTTGTAAACTCTAAAAGAAAATATAGGCACGCAAAAACACTTTAAAATACTAATTATGCTTTACAAGGGAATATTAGAATCTCACAATTTTCTCAGAAATTTACACAACATGATATGTTATAAATGTAAGGCTTTTGGAAGAATATTATAAAAACTCGAGACCTCATAATCCTAACTGAAACAAAAAGACATAACATGAAATTTAATTTTTTGAAAGAAAAAAACGACTTTCACTTTTTATGAAAGAGAAGAGGTTTCACCATCCCAGCCAAGATCTTAGGTAATTGTGCAGCGATGACTTCAGACATCATTTCAGGAAATTCGACAGCCAGTGCCCGGGACTGGATGAATGTATTCAAGCAGTACAGATGAAGCTGTTTGACAAGCTGAGGGGTTTACAAGTGAGAGATAACATGTAAGAAAAAAGAATTAATCTAACACGCATTCCAGCATGATAGCTTATTTTTCTAACAATAGAAATATTGTGAAGGCCAGGCTTGGAGGCTCATGCTGAAATCCTAGCTACCAGAAGGTGGATATCAGGAAGATCACAACTCAAGGCCAGCACAAGCAAAAAGCTCCTGAGATTCCATCTCAACCAGTAAAGCCGGCTGTGGTTGTTCTCGCCTGTCATCCCAGCTACCAGGGAAGCACAAATAGGAATGTGTTCCAGGCCAGCCTGGTCATAAACATGGGACCTGATCCCCAAAATAACTAAAGGAAAAAGGGCTGAGGGCATGGCTCAAGTGGTGCTGCACCTGCCTAACAAGCACAAGGCCCTGAGTTCAAACCCCCAGGCCATCAAATAGAAAAGAAGTATTTAAGATGTTTTCTTCATACCAAAATGAAAATAGCTCCCAGCAGTATCTAGAGTAATATGGAAAATATTATATACTCACAATCGAATATTCTTATAATACGGAAAGGTTTAAAAAAATGAAAGTTACCCATATTCCCAGCAACCAAGGTAAACATTTTGGTGTATTTTTCAAGTTTTTAACAAGAATACATAGATAAAGGTATACAGAAGCATACAAATGGTATTATAAACACACATATAATTTCAAAATGCAATTATTTCATCAATTCTATTTGTTAATGTTTTTTTCACATAATAATACATTGTCTATATGTCAATAACCCAACATAATTCAACTTTGTTTTTATTTCTAACAAGGTAATTCATACATGTAATTTTAAAAGTCAGATACTACTGCACAATTTGTAACAATTTGTTGCAGCAGCAACAAAATCCAGCAGTTCCTGATATGTCTTCCTGTTCTTATTCCAGCTCCCCAAAGACAACTGTTTTTGATTTTTTAGCCTATACCTGTTGACATTTATCTTTGCATTTCTAATACAGTGTCTTACAATTTTGTCCTTTTTTTTTTGGTGATACTAGGGTTTGAAGTCAGGGCTTCACAATTGTGAGGTAGGTACTGTACTGCTTAAGCCACAATTTTGCCTTGGTTGTTTTGAACACAGAGTCTCCCTTTTTGCCAGGTGAGTCGGGGCTGTGAGCCTCCTATTTGCTGTCTCTGGTATGACAGGTGCAAGCCACCACACCTAGATTTTTTTTCCTTGGAGATGGTATCTTATGAACTTTTCTCTCAGGCTGGTCTGGAACTGTCATCATCCTGATCTTAGCCGATGACGGGCTTTGCACCCCACGCCCAGCTATTGGGTGAGACGGGGTCGCATGAACATTTTCCTGAGTTGCCCTACAACCATGATCTTCACAATCTCAGCCTCCCAAGTAGCTGGGATTACACACATGAGCCATCAGCACCTGGCCAATTTTGACATCACTGATGACATTTCTATGATGAAAAATGAGGATTTAGCTCTCTTTACACCATACACCCTGCTTCTCAACTCCACAAAATTTCTGATTTTCCCATTTTCTACATAGTTATATTTCTATTTTTGTTTAAAGCAGTATCCCATGCTTATGTTAGAAGGACTTGTACTGTTTCCTGCTGGATTATACTTCCTTTCCTATATGACTTTATTTTGCGAAAGCTAATCACCTGTGCCGTTTGCTATGCTTTCTCAGCATTTATCTATTTATCACACAACCATAGTCAAGTTTTCTGAAAACAAAACCACCTCAGTGGGGTCATGCACACTGGAAAGCTGCCCATTCCAATTCTCCCGTCTTAGAATCCTCCATATTGCTGCTCAATTCTAGACTGACTGCTCTGCACAGTTAAGGTGCTGAGACCTTACTTTGTATCACTCTTGGGTTGAATCCTCTACTTCTTTGGTTTATTGTTTTGTTACAACACATCCTAAGGTAGTTCCTGAGATAAGGCTGTATGTAAGAAAAACCCTATGAGACCTAAGTGTGAAAACACTCTTATGGCATCATTGTACTTGTGTGCAGGTTCTGAAGGCATTGTTCCATTGTCTTCTGGCTTCCATTGTTGCTGTAGCGGAGTCAACATCATTCTGAATGCTAATAATTTGTAGGTTGTTTCTTGGTATATTTAGGATGCTCTCATTTCTAGTATGCCGAAACTTCATCATACTGTACTTGGGTTCAATTGTATGGTAGCTGTATGCTGGACCCTTATAGTTAAAATAATGCATGTCCTCCAGTTCCAGCAACTAACTTGTTTTTTGGAATTTGAACACAGGCGTTGCTCTAACGTGGCAGGTACTCTCTCACTTGAGCCACACCATTTCCAGTTTTGCTTCACTTATTTTTAGACACAGTCTTGTATTATTATTATTTGTTGTACTGGCATTTGGACTCAGGGCTTTGCACTTGCTAGGCAGGTGCTTTACCATGTGAGCCATGCCTTCAGCCCTTTTCTCTCTGGTTATTTTAGAAATAGGGTCTTACTCTTTGCTCAGGCTGGCCTGGGATGACAGGTACACCAGACCCAGCTTTTTTTCCACTGAGATGAGGCTCTCATGAATTTTTTCACCCAGGCTGACCTGGAACTATGATTCTCCAATCTAAACCTCCCATGTAGCTTGGGATAACAGGCACACACCACTGCACCCAACTATTGGGGTTGATGTGGCCTCTCAAACTTTTTGCCCAGGATGGTTTCAAATCATGATCCTCCTGATCTCAGCCTGCCAAGTAACTAGGATTACAGGCATGAATCACCAGTGCCCTGTTGGGTCTTACATTTTTGCATGGGGTTGGCCTCAGACAATGATCCTCCTACATACTTATGCCTACCACAAGTTGGGATTATAGGTATGAGCCATCAAGCCTAGCCCCAGCAACTTTAATTATTACATAATTTCCTCTTCTTGATTTTCTTCCATTTTTTTCTCTTGTGGAAATTCCTATTGATTGGAGGATGGGATGACCCCCCACCCTACCCCAGGGCTAATCCTTTAAAGTTTCTATCTCTTCCCTCTAATTTTCCATGTTTTAATTTTTAGTTATTTCTTTTCTGAGTTTCCTTTATATTTCATCCCTCTTAATAGATTTTAAATTTTCTGTTCTTCTGTATTCAGCTCCCCCAAAGCTTTTTCTTATAAAATGTTCCTTTTTGAGTGTTTTTCTGTTCTCCTTTCTTGGATGCAAATTTTATTCTGTTCTTTGCACTGGTGCTTTATCCTTCAAGTTGCTCCACCCCCCCCCATTAATTTTACTCTTGTCTTGTCATTTTAGAGGCTTTACTCAAATACCTTGTAATCTTGGCAGTCTGTTCATAATTCAGAAGATAGGCCCTCAACAGTTGACCTGGTAAGTGGATACCTACTTTATGCCTTGATGGTCATTTTAATGTGGTTTCAGTAACTTGTATTCAACATGTCTTGACTAAACACATACATCTTGTTTTATTAATCCAGTTCTGGTGTTAGATACTTCTGGGTTTTTCACCACAGTAGAGGAAAAAACACATAAACTCAAACCAAAAACAACCCAAAAAGAATCTAAAGAATTTAAATCCTTGCCTAGTTATCTTCAAGATAAATCCTAAGGAACAGAATCTTGGAAAGCATGCAGATTTTAGCTTTTAATATATATTGCCTGATTTCCCATCAGTAATGTTATTTATAATTCCACTTGAAAAATGGCATGAGTATTATTTTCCACAGCCATATTTTGCTTTAATTGTATATATAAAAACTATTGTAATTTTAAGCAAAAAAAAAAAAGCACTATATTTCCTATCTGGGCATGCTGGCTCACACCTTAAGATCCCAGCTACTCAGTGGATCACAGTTTGAGGCCAATCCAAAGTTAGCAAGACCCCATTTTAACCAACAGCTGGGTGTGGTGGTACCTGCCTCTCATCCCAGCTACACAAGAATCATAAATAGGAGGCTCAGGGTCCAAGCTGACCAAGGGAAAAAAAAATCCTACCCCCAAAATAGCTAGAGCAAAAGTGTTGGAGGAGGGGTGGCTCAAGTAGTAGAGCACCAGCCTATCTAGCACGAACCCCAAGTTCAACCTCTAGAATAGTTCCCATCCCCCAAAAAAGAAAGACAGAAAATGTGCTATAATTCCTACTGGACATTAAATTACCATCAAGTTATACAAATACTTGTAAGAGGATAAATGATTGACCTACACTGAAAATGGAAAAAAAAGCACAATGAAAAGTCTGAGCCCTGTGATGGAACACAAGTACAAATACAGCTTTAAGAACCATGCCAACAAAACTTGACATTTATCATATAAAAAGTTAGAGAAACTCAGAGAATAATCTTTGCCATCCTGAACACTAAATACTTACATCATGTAAGCTGTCGAGAAGTTTTGTAAGTTGATAGAAGCGCTGTGAACTGGGGACGACGCCTTTCTGCCTCAAACCTATGGCCTTGACGAGCTCCCGGATGTAGCTGGACCTCATCTCTTCAAACTGGTTTTGACTCCTCAGTCCTTCCAAAGGGACTACAGAAGACAAGGACAAGCAGCAGTCATATTAAGGAGATGATGCTAACAATTTACACTATGAATTTCTGAGCTAGACAGTGACTTCTTTTGAGTGCAATTCTCCTACAACATCTTAAGTAGGACAAAACAGTGCTTAATAACATCCAGGATATGGAGAGCTGTCATTCTGGAGGAATATAACAACAGCAAGGTCTGTTAAGGAACATCTCTTCTTACCTGTTTCAGACCTGTATCCATGTTTGCATTTAACTTAGCATTTGCTCTAAAGAGCTGATACTATTCTACAATTCTGTCTTAAATACCTGGTTTGACTTGATCTACACATGTATTCTGTGTCTTTTCCCCCCTCTTCTAAATAAATACTTTGGTTTCTTTGTCAAAAGTTTTGTCTCTTTCATACAAAGCTCAAGTATTACTCATTAAGATTATTCCTGGAATAATCTTTTGTTGTTGTTGTTATTTTAACATTATGTTTTCTAATACCTTTCAGCTGAATGGGAAAAAGCTATTAATATTTAAATATTTTCTTTTGTATCCAGCCACTTAATCTTTTTTTTTCTTTTTCTTTCTTTCTTCTATTTTTGGTGGCTCTGGGGTTTGAACTCAAGGCTTCACGCTTGCTAGGCAGGTGCTCTACCACTTGAGCCATGCCCCCAGCCCTTGGTTCTTAATTTGAGCAGATTTTGGTGGATTATTTTTGTTTCCTTGGCATATAAAAATATTACATTCAAATAATATTTTCATTTTCCTCTTTCCAATAAGTAGACTTCTCATTTGAGTCACAACTCACTGTACTGTTGAACACCCACAGAGCAATATAAATAATAATAGTGATGACAGATACTCATGTTTTGTTGATTTTAATGAGGAAGACACTTATTCACATATGTTGTCAACTAATAATTTAGATATTTACCTTGGAATTCTTTAATGCCCATATTCAGATCCGAGGCACAAGTGCTTGTCCTTGTATTTTCACTACATACTCACTTTCACCTCCGGTTTCCCCTGACCTTTTCAGTCCTTCTGTTGCCATGCACCACAGATGCCTTGCTTCTTTTCTGCAACAATCTAGCCCTAAAACCTTAGCTTCCTTGCTTCAGTTTTTTTCCTCTGACTTCACTTTTAAAAACAAACCTTTAACCTGAAAGTGGACTTTTTCTGCAGCTGTAGCCAGATTTCTGATATGTAAAAAGAAAAAAAATCACAAAACCCCTTGAAGATATATTACTGTTCACTTATGAGCTTGATCCTCAGCTCATAATGAAGGTGCATTTTAATGAAGTGCATTTTAAGGCAACTGTCTGTGCCTAGAAAACAGAAAAAAAGCTTTAGAAACCCTATTTCTCTCCTGCACCCCAATCAAAGCTCAGCTTCCACTCTTCTTGGGAAAGAAGGCCATATATCCAAACCAAAGAAAACCAAAAAGTCAAGTTTTTGGTTTTGAGTTTTCATTTGATCAGAATTATATTCAGGAATAGAAGGGAACTCTCAAGGGTAATTTGGTAATATGCACTTTTTGCTCATTTGAAAATTTAATTCTTAAGCCAGGTGTGGTGGTGCAAACCTGTATGTAATTCTGCACTTGGGAAGCTGAGGTAGAAGAATCAGGAGATGGAGGCCAGACTGGGAACCTCAATTCCTGTATGCACATCTGCACAGATGCAGTGTACTTTTAGCAATGATCTTGTCTCTGAAACTATTTCATACAGCAATTATTTAAAACCTTCCCACCCCTGTGTTTCTACCAATCCCAGAATCTCCCTCGCTGTTAAATATCAATATAAAACCATCTTTTCTAGTTTTCTAAGAAAATACCTTTACTAAGATTTTAGTGAAGTTTTGGAAAGAACAAAGGTAAAACTATGTGTTCGACCTGTCCCCTATTCGAGGTCTGTGTTACAATTCTTAACAGAGATGGACGTTCACCTTTGTCACTCTCATGTCATTGAATTCTGCCTTTGCCAATCTCCCCATTGCGATTATTTTTACAAAGGTATTTCCTATTTGAGATTTGAAAGTGGTTTACATTTCTCCTATCTTGTCTTTTAATGATTTGAGTGTTTCTATTTAATTCAGTTATCTGGTATTCATTTTATTTTTATTATTTTAGGATATAATTTGAGCTAAATGTCCAAACTGAATTTTCTCTACACACAAAGCTGTTTTTCTTAACAGTGTTTATTTATTCCAGATTCAATACTTGCAATGTTTCCATTGTAGTATCTAAGTCCTAATATATACTTTTCTGACGTGGCAAATGACCCCTTCTCTCACACTATAGATTTATGGTTTCTAACTCACTTCATATGTAAGTGAGTTGTAAGGCTCATTTATTTAACCCCTCCCCTGATTTAAAGATGAATTTTCAATCATTTTGCCAAGTTCTCCTCCCCACTGTCCAAAATCTTAGTAGCACTTGTACTATGATGTGTGAAATAGGTAAGTACTATTCACCAAATGTTTCTGTTTCTTGTTCTTCTTGAAGTGGTAAGTGGCCAAGAATCTGACTTCTGTACTATGTGAGTGGAAATCATGTGTGCGTACATCCCTTCCCTTCCTCACCAGTGTTCCGGTGAGTGTGAAAGCACCTGTCAAGACAGCATCCGTTTGCCTGGGCTGCTGTGGGTGACAACGAGCAGAGCCTCCAGTTGAGCTGTCCTGGACCTATAGTGGTTGTACACTGCCCCGCGCCCAGCATGATGTAATCTACACATTAGTACAGAGCTGTGTTAGTGACAGAATGAAATCGGGAAACCGAGCACTACCTGTGACACAGCCACCATAGGATTCATTACTGTCAAGCAAAGAAGGACAAGAATTAATTATCATAATACTAATTAATACATTAAATTGACTCTCTTGGCCTGTCTGGGCCTCAGCTAGGTTGCACTTCCCCCTAGCGTCTTCTGCAGGGCAGGTGGACCATGGGATGTGAGTAGAAGAGATGCACAATACTTTGAAGTTCTGCCTTGAAAGTTTCACTCACTCTGCTCATTACAGTCAGAGGCGATAGAGGACTCCAAGCCACAGGGCACAGCAGATTCACCAGATGGAAGGAGCCTGGGGTTTTCTTATTGACCCACTGAACCATGTACACTAAGGTACTGAGCTTTCTGATCTTTGTACCTATTTGTTGTAAGTTAACCTACCTTGCTATCATGAGAAAAATTCCTAAAAAAGTTGTGTATTTCCATAGTAAATACTTTTGTACATGTATGGTGGGGGGTGGGGGGGAAGCAGTTTGTGCTCATAAAGTATTAGTTCATAATGCTGAATGAGGTGACTATGAAAAGGCATTTGAACATATTTTATTGAAAATAAAGGAACTGGCTAGGCTATTTTAGTATTATGTGATAGGCAAACATGATAAATATCATATTGACACTTGTGGCAATATATTGGGTGTTTCTTCCTTGCAGTTCCAATCTAATATTTATACCTCATATAGAATTATATGATATTATTATTTGAGACTCTCCTTAAATTGTAACTTAAAGAAAGAAATGTCCTACCTATCCTCACCCCTTCCTTGTGTGCTCTCGCTTTTATCATGTGCTCAAAGTCCAATCCCATTGTTGTGTTTGCCCTTGATCTAATGTCCACATATGAGGGAGAACATACGATTTTTGGTCTTTTGGGCCAGGCTAACCTCACTCAGAATGATGTTCTCCAATTCCATCCATTTACCAGCGAATGATAACATTTCGTTCTTCTTCATGGCTGCATAAAATTCTATTGTGTCTAGATACCACATTTTCTTAATCCATTCATCAGTGGTGTGGCATCTTGGCTGTTTCCATAGCTTGGCTATTGTGAATAGTGCCGCAATAAACATGGGTGTGCAGGTGCCTCTGGAGTAACCTGTGTCACAGTCTTTTACTAGCTAGCATTTGTTGCCCTTAACGCAGAGAAACTAAAGCAGATACCTTAAAAGCAACTGAGGCCAATAGGAAAAGGGGAACAGGTACTAGAGAAAAGGTGAGATAAAAAAGAATTAACCTAGAAGGTAATACACATGCACAGGAAATCAATGTGAGTCAATACCCTGTATAGCTATCCTTATCTCAACCAGCAAAAACACTTGTCCCTTCCTGTTATTGCTTATACTCTCTCTACAACAAAATTAGAAATAAGGGCAAAATAGTTTCTGCTGGGTATTGGGGGGGGCGGAGTGGGTGGTAAGGGAGGGGGTTGGGGGCAGGGGGGAGAAATGAACCAAGCCTTGTATGCACATATGAATAATAAAAGAAAAAGGAAAAAAAAAAAAAGAAATGTCCTCTGTTAAGTTGCTTATGCTCACTCACTTGTGTTAAGCAGCAGCAATACTTTCATGCAGAGGAACTCTTCTTGGCTGACTTGAAGCTTCACAAACTCCTGTGGGATCTGCCACATTGTAAGGCACAGTGAATAGAACGAGGATTCTTTCATCCGCTGTCTTGCACCACACACAATACGCAAAAGAAAATCAACAGGAAAAAAGCCATAATGTCTCAGCCCGTTTGTGTAATTTGCCAAGGACGATGATTTTGGCAATTGCTTCTCATATTATTGAGTTTGACTACTATATTGAATAAGCAAACTTAATATTTGGAATTTCAAACATCTTTAAACTTTTTCACTGTTTGAGATTAAGAAATTTTAAAATTAGAAAATGATATAAAATACACATTGACCAAAATGAATATTGTTTTTCACTTTTATTATCACACTTCATATATGTAAATGAAGAAAGAAGAGCACCGTTGAAGGAGTTGAGGATGTAGAGATGATGCATGCTCAGAAATGCTTTATTTACAGAATATATACACATATATGTATGTAACCATGTATACGGTGTATATATACATGTATATAATATATGTGTGTGTGTATATATAATTTTGTACACAGTTCAATGGGAGAATTGCTTAAGTTCACAAAATCTTACCACTCTGTGACCTTTCTAGGGAAATGTGTTGTGATTCACAACACAAATCCTAAAGGTTAAGAACACTCACTGAAGGTATTTTCTCAACTATGTGCTGTTTTATAATGACCACATTGGTCAAATAAGCCAGCAGCAACAGTGAAGGGAAGACTAGATTTTGACTCAGAAGAGCTAAGATTAAGCCTGTCCCTCGGATAGGCAGGTTACCCAGTTCTCCTAAGCATCTCCTTCTTGAATTGTAAAATGAATGATGCTGATTCCCTACCTGTTTCAGGGGATTATAGGATAAATGGAATGAAACATAAAAACTATCTATAAACTGCGAAGACTTATACAAGTGCAATTATTCATTTAAATAATTGTAAGTCAGCATTCATCATTAGAACAGTATAAATATTACCATGAAGAGGTTCTTATTCATTTAAAGATAATATGTAGAAAATTACTTAAATACAATAAAGCAAATAGACATATTTATCTTTTTAAATTTTAAAATAAATTACCAGTTTAGTCTTTCTTGCAGGAAAAAAGATAATGGTTTTACTTTTTGGAGATAAATCAATACTTTCAAGAAAAAATATTTCTAATTTATTACTTCATTAGTACCAAGCCTGAAATTCGAATATGAGAAGCTAAACATTTCATTTGTGCTTAAGTGTATTTCCTGATGCATTTTTGAGGAATTAAAAACTTGATTTGAGACAGTATATATTGAAACAAGACAAAAAGCTCTAAATATTCTTGATACAAATAATTCACTTTTAAGATTTGTCATATAAAGCTGTATCATGAGGTAATTCTGATAAATATTTCAGGAAAATTCCATTATTTAGGGCAATAATTACATTTAAATACAATTGTATCTAAATGTAATTTTAAAATATCTAATGAGAACAACAATCACTACTTACTCATTTAGTATTAGATCAGGAGCAAAATATAACATCTGCCCACTGACATGTTTATAGGACCTCCATCCTAGTCCAAACACCATTAAGCTCATCCATGAGTACTGGATCAGAGTTATCTGGTCATCAATATGTAAGTTTCGAAAACCTACAAAGCAAATTTAAAAATTATCACAAAAATTATTTGTGCCAAGAATGTTGAAAATACATAGAAATTCAAAAGTAGCTAAAAGTAGGGCAATGTTTTCAATCTCAATGTATTTTTGCCTTAAAAGTGAGGAAACATTAATAAATAATACAGCCTGAAAAATGAAAGAGAAGCAGAGACTTTGGAAGTCTTTTAAAATTAGTCACTGTGATTTAGCATTTGTGAGAATTTGCTCAGTAAGTCAATCGTCCATCACTGATTCATGCCACACCCATTCATTGAGTCGCTTTTGCATGCCAGGCACTGTGCTAAAATGCTGGGTTATGAAGACAAATAAAACCAAACCCTTGCCCTCAACATGCTCACACCTTAACAGGAGAGAAGCTCATGAGTGCTGTGACAGAGCAGGTTAAAAGGGAGGGCACCAGCCATTTGGAAAGCAGTTCAGGAAAACTTTCTTGAAAGACAAAGAGGTAACACCTGGTGGAATACACTCAGATTGTTGATGGATCATGCTTTAAATATAAGTTTTAGTTTGTAAAACCACTGCTACCAATTGTGCTGTACCTAATTCTCCTTTAATAATGCTTAATATGTTTTGGGTAGATTCCACAGTAATCTGGTCACACTTATTTTTAAAAACTTATTCCAGTGTCATTTTAAACATCCATGTAGTTTAACAGGTTTGGAGTCTGTGAGCATGGGCGTGGAGACTGCTCTCATCTTTTACCCTCTTTTACATCCTTCTCTGGTGTCAATGGCAGAGGCACAATGGCTGAAAAAGGACAAGTGACTCGACCTAATGGTCAAGGGTCTTCCTTTTATTTCCTCATAGTTCTTGGGAGATGATCCCCACTTCAGCATTGGAGAACTTACAAGAAGGAGATGCAAAGAGGTTTTGGGAGATCTGGGCAGGAGTCAGATCAAGGAAGGTCTTTTGTGTCTGTCAGGAGTGATGACCTTATATGTGGCCTTATATGTGTGATAGATGGGTCTTTGGTAACCATGTGGAGGGTGGATTCAAGGAAATAAGTCTTAAGAGTCAGAGACAGCAGTTGGGAGCTATTGTGAAAGTCCAGATGAAGGATGATAAAAGCCACTGTGTGAGAATTGAGAGGAGAAAGTGCACCAAAGAAACATTTACAGAGCAAAATCAGAGATTTCACAACTCATCATATGTAGGTGAGAAGAAGGACTCAAACATATCTGTCAGTAGTAGTCTATTTTTCACAAATGCTGTTGTGGGATAAAAGAGGAGAAACCAGCTAGGGAGAAAATAGAAAATTTGGACATGTGTGAGGGACCTCAGCAACATCCAGATGGCAGCTGGGCACAGGAGGAGAACCTGGGCTAGAAATACATATTCGGAAGTTATTTGTGTCTGACTCAGTTGATTAAGGAAAGTGGAGGAAGTCTTAGTAAAGGCTAAGAGAAAGGAAACATGCTTTGGTGTAAACATCAACCACTTTCCATAAAGCTCTTTGAATAACAACTGTTTCCCTAAAAACCCATTGACATCCACTTACAAATGACCTCATTCAGGAGTGAAACAAAAACAAAGCTTAGTTCACTAGATATCAAAGGCAAAAGAAATTCATTCCTTGACTATGTTAGATGTTACAAAATAGTGGAAGAGAAGGCTTTCTTCTTTGCACACCCGGCACAGGGTCCCATCTGTAATTCTCTTCTTAGAATTCCTTAGCCTCGCTGGGGCAGAGGACAGCTGTAGGGCATCTTCCCGATGCCCCAGCAGTCTTCCTCTTGTTTGGTGGGGGGCACGCTTCGGAGTCTTAACCTCCCTCCTTCCCTCGCTCCCCTCCTTCCTCTCTATGAATTGTGTCCACTGGTTGTAGTTTAGTGGTGGCAAGTGCAGTCACCAAGGAAATGGGTTAAAGCCTCTGCCTTCCCTGGGCTCATGGCCTCTGGCCGGTGGAACACATGCTACCAGGAGTTGAGTCAGAGTTAGCAATGCAGAGACAAGCTACAGCCGTTCCCCTGCGTGCTGTTGCTTGTGACAGAGGGGCCGATGGGTGCATGTGAGAGGCTGGTTTGAGGCTCTGCAGAGATGCCTGGGTTTCTGTAGTATCCAGTTTGTCCTCGTTTCCATTCAGTGACTTCCTGCAGTCCTTCCAGTAATTGTTTTCATTTTGTTTTTGACAGCCAGAGAGGTGTGTGATTATTAGCAGTTTCTTTTGTGTTCTGCTTTTGCTGGCATCCAAGAAATCTGATTTACTCAGGTGCAGAAAGACTAAATCACTTGTCAAGAAAAATTTGGCATGTGATTTTTATAATGCTTTATTTTCACAGGACTTAAATGCACCTTCAAGTACATGTCTTTTTAGAAAAAATTATGAATCTTAACACAATAAATGTAGGAACAAATGTTGCCCATCAATTGAACATTTTACAGGCTTTACAAAAATAGGTAATTAATTCATTGATAAAATTTATAATCACTTGTTAAGAGATGAATAAATTTTCCTGTCTTTTAAAAAGAAGGACTTCCTAAATGGATGTGCAGATGAACCTGCATAGTGTTTGTGTTCTGAAGAGAAGACCCGTTCCAGCCCTGCCTCTACAACTTACAGAATGCACTTTGTATGAGTTATTTAATATCACTGAATATAAATCTTTTCACTGGCAAAATTCACAACAGTAATGGTAACTAATTCAACGAGTTACTAAGAGACTCAAATGAGGTAGTTTTGTTCACGTATCAGTGGGCCCTGTAACAAACTGCTCAGTGGAACAAAGGCTATATGAAAGCCACACACCAGTCTGATCAGAAGCCTAATTTTAAAGCAAAATGATATCAAAATTATGTCAGGAGGCATTTTTATGTTAAAGAACTTATATAATACAACTAAAGTAAAATGCTATTAGTGGCAATAAAATTTCCTTGATGAACATAGATGCAAATATTCTCAATAAAATATTTACAAACTGAATTCAATATATACTAAAAAGATCATACACCATGATAACTTTGGTTTCACTCCAGGGATGCAAGGATGATTCACCATATGCAAAATAATAAATGTAATACAACACATAAATAGGATCAAGGACAGAAATCACACCATCAACCTCTTTAGCATTTCAACATCCTTTCATGATGAAAGCTCTGACGACATTAGGAAGAGAAGGAATGTACCTCAACATAGCAAAAGCTGCATACATCAAGCCCAGATCAACATCGTAACAAATGGAGAAAAACTGAAGCCATTTCCCCTAAAGTCAGGAACAAGACAAGGAAGTCCACTCTCTCACTCTTATTCAATATGGTTTGGCAATCCCTAGCCAGAGCAATAAAACAGGTGGAAAATATAAAAGGGATTCAAACAGTGCTGGTGGCACCACTATTCATAATAGCCAAGCTATGGAAATAGTCCAGAGACCTTCTAACTGATAAATGGATTGGGAAAATGTGGAATATATACATAATGGAATATTATTCACCTATAAAGAAGAATGAAATTATGTTGCTTGCGGTTAAATGGATGGAACTGGACATCATCATGCTAAGTAAAGTAAGCCAGATTGAGAAAGACAGAAGTCCCATGTTTCTCTCATACGTGGAATATAGACCCAAAAGATAAATGTGTACACAAACACAAACATCATCACATATATACATATATATATGTGTATATATAACATGTCTGTAAAAGTGGGGCTGTTTGGGGTGACTGGGGGAGAGGGAGAGGAAAAGGGAATGACAGGGTGAATCACGTTGAAACACACTGCATCTCTGGAGGAAGATGGCCTAAGGAAACAGTGAAAGCCACTGATTGACGGACACAGAGGAAGGGTCAGGAAGAGTAATAGACAGCTAGCTAATCTGATTAAAGTCCACACATTCACAGCTGAAAAGCCAGAGCGAAGCCTCTTTGAACAATGAATATACACTTAAAAAGAGGAAGACAGGAATGTAAACTATGTCCTGTGGGGGGGCAGTAGTGGGGGTGGGAAGGAGATAAACACAGTCTGTGTACTTTATATACTGCGTGAAACAGAACGATGAGACTTGTCAAAATCATTTAAGTCGGGGGAGGGGGAGAGAGAGATGAACCTCACTGAGGTACACTGTACACATATATGGAAATGTGAGAATGAAATACCACTGTACAATTTAAGATATGCTGATAACGATGTTTAAAAGTCCGTAAAACTTACCCAGTTACCAATATTTCTAGCAGAAACTCTTAAGTCCACCTAACAGAATAGGATTTAGGAAATAAACTCCACTTACTTCACCTTTCACAGGGCTTGTCTGTGATAAATGTCCGTCATTAAGTGGACTTGAACATGCCATGCCTGCTAGAGAAGTACAATTTCTCCCATTAACTGGAATATCATTCCATCATTTTAAACTTAAAGACGGGAACACTGAGCTCAGATTCTGATTCCCATGGTGACAGTCAGGAAATTTCAGTACATTTGAGATGATGAAAATGGACAAGATTCACATGGAGAAGTGATGTGAACTAGTGATGAATGTTCACATGAATTCACATGAATTAGTGATGGTCACTAATTGTGCTTGACTGGTAATATTAAAAAAAATACCATTTGCTTTCAAGTGACTCGACCTGATAATTCCTGAACTCTTTGGTTACAAGCTGTCTAATTCTTAACACAAAAGCAAATTGAAAGAAAGGATAAGAAAGAGAAAGTGGCCTGAATGACTTACTACTTTCCAGGGCAGATAAAATATATAGATAGTGCTTCACTTAAAAAAATGGCATATAGTTGAAGTAGCTAATATATACACATACATACACAAAAGATATAAACTTTCATATACAAGTAAACTTTGAGGAATTCAGAGAAACTTCTATACAGTATATACATGCACCAATATATGTTTAATGACTTAATATGAACAAGACGTTGGTGTTTAATGATCTAAGCAGTACAGTTCTTTTGATAGAAATTACACATTTTAAATTTCTATAAAGGTTTTTTTTTTTTTTTTGAGACAAGGTCTATGTGGCCCAGACTGGCCTTAAACTCACTGTATAGCTCATGGTAGCCTAGAACTCACTATGTAGCTCAAGCTGACCGCAAACTTCTCTTCCCCATCTTCTCCCAAGTGATGTGATTACAAGTATGCACCACCACACCAGCCAGGCACTCTCAGCCATGTTTAAGCCTCTCTTTGAGGTGAAGCTTTATGTGTGCAGCTACGTAATGATTACAAAGACACTGCTAAATAGAACACCGTTTTAACTCAGAGTGACCACGGCGTGGCTGACAAACGCAAGGGAGACTCGAGAGAGTAGTGTTCCTTGATGCAGTCTGGGAAGGCTCAGGGAAATCTTACCAGGGAAGCGTTGGATGGTGTGAACCCTGAAGGCTAGCTTGGAATCAGCCAGGGAGGTATGGAAGACAAGCAGAGCCTATAGGTAAGGAAGGCAATATGGAAGAGAGGCAGCAGAAAGTGGAGCCATGAGCTTTCTGGCAACTGGACTTTAGAGTGGCTGAAGTCAAGGAATGGGTGAGAGGTAATGTACAAGCCCAAGAGTTAGATCACAGGAGGGCCTTTGACATTAATGCTAAAGAGTGAAGACTATTCTGAGAAGGAAAGAGAAAAGCATAATTAATAGTAATGATTTTAGAAAGATGGTTCTTGAGGCAGAGTATAGGATTGTTTAGAGGCTAAAATCTAGGTAAAACATGGTGGTGATGTTGACCAAAGTTGGGACAGTAGCCATGAAAGTAGTATCTGTAATGAGTCATGTATTTAATAAGTAGACTTGACAGTATTTGGGCAGGAGATGAAGGAGAAAGTGATGCAAAGATGACACCAAAGATTCTGGCTGATGTATCACTTCAGGATGTGGAAAAAATATTTTAAGTTTATAGATTAGACGTCATGTTGACTTGGAAGTTCTACTGGGTGGAGATGTGTGATAAGCACTTGAAATATATGCGCCAGTGGCTTAGTGTCTTTTAAGAGTCATTGGCACATGGTGGTAAAGACAGGGCTATGAATGAGCTTATCCACCTGCAGAGAAGGAGAGGAGAACTCAGGACATGCCAAACTCATGGTACACTTGAAAGAACAAATACCCAAGGAGTCAAAAATTGTGTACATTGACAGAAACATATTTGCCTGGAAGGAAAGTGATGAATGCCAAAGGAAGAGTTCTAGCAAGAAATGCTCACTGTGTCAACAGCCCCAGAGTGTATGAAAATTTTTTAAATTCTGACTTGACAAGTAAAAAACGTAACCAGCATAAATCTCAATCTCAACAGAAGAGGGTGTTAGAAAAGGGGATTTTTGAGTCTTCATGGAAGCCCTTATTAGACCTAACTTACTCCTTTCCCATTTCTCTCTCATCACTTTTGGGAAGATGATAATTTGAATGACTCACTTGGTTTAGGGAGACAGAAAAAAATTCTTTGTAATATAAGCATTGACTGCCATTGATTCAAAAGATGTTTTGTCAAATTTTACAGCCAGATGAGACAAAGTATTGTTCTATCCTTCTGATCTGATAATTTTTTCAAGTAATTTGGCTAACTGAAACCAAGAAAAAGGCATGGATTAAAAATTCAGTATTTAAAAATGTCAAAGCATTGCCCTGAATAGAAATTTCACCAGGTAAATAGAAGCATCAGGACAAAATTTATGAAAAGTATATTCTGGTCCTACAGTTCTCTGTCGCTTCAATTCTGCTACAACTGACATACAGAATGGAGAATACTTAAAAGTGAAAATAAATTGGGAATGAATACTTATTTTTAAAGCCCATCATGACTTTTAAGACCCCCCACCTCATCAGCCTATAACTTATACTTCTAAATTTATATTCCTCACCCCAATATAAATTTACTGTCATTATTTTTCAATACTAGGGTGATAGAGCCCCAGCGAGGTTACTGCTTATTGCAGTAGTGTCTGAGGGGCCATATGCACAAATGTGTTTTCTCAACCAGAAGCTACTAAAAGCTGTAATAACTACCTTGTGAGGTAAGTGAATAAAAAATGTTTGATGTTACTAAGGAACCCTCATGTTTCAGGAAACTAGCAACCATTGTTTTATGCTGATTTAATTCATGATTCCCCAAATATAGATGATGCTTTCCTCTTCTTCCACCATCAGCCACCTGGCCCTATGTGGAATGCTTTCTCATCAAGGGTAACTAAAGCTCCTTTCTTGTTTCTTTAGTCTCTGATGCTCAAAGTGTTCTATTTCTGCTACACACCCATCACTCCTACACACGCTGTTGTTGGGTGTCTTCTCTCTCTCACTGGGTTGGAAGCTCTTTAATACAGGAACTATGTCTTGCTCATGCTTTAAACTTTGCTGATGATATGTTGTTCCTTATTCCAAACAGGAGCAAAGCTACACATAAAAGTCAATGTAAAATCACTCATCTACAGATAAGTGTCAGGTGCAATGTATTCTCAGACAGTTTGTAACAATGTTGTCATGAGGCTATAGCATCTACTAAATAGAAAAACAGCATCTCTGAGATCATATGGAGAGAAGTAAGATAAGCTGCAATTATTGTGATAGGTTGAAGATAATGGAAGAATCAGACAAAGGAGAAACGAAAACAAGCCCTGACCAGGCAATGCGTCAAGGTACCTTGGGATTTCTGCCTAGGACTCTCTTATGCACTATCACCTTGTTATGATGGTCATTCTGTATCTGATCTTTATCTGGATCTAAACATAGTTTACTATTGTGAAAGAATAACCTGCTCAGCTAACACGTTTTCCTAGTGGTGTGTGTGTGTGTGTGTGTGTGTGTGTGTATACACACATGCATAAAATTGAATTGTAAATGAGTAAATTCACATTCTGACTTATTATTAAGGCTCTCTTAACAGAACTCCATCTCCCACAGACTTAATTACACAAGAATAAATGGGTAAAATAAATTTCTCCTATGTGCAAAACTGATGCTTAGAGACTAGGACGTACTTCGTTCAAACACATTTGCACCATGAGTCCAGCTTTATGGCCTTTCTTTCCAGCAGCACTGTTTAATTGTTAGGTTTTGCACACAGCGGGAATGTAATAGGCATTTATTGACTGAATCAGTGAATAAGAACGGTACCTTGCTTAAAGTCAACTAACGTCAGTTTTGTAGCTAATGACCTTGGATTATGTACACGTTCCTCCCCATCCTTTTTCAGAGGCCAATATAGTCCCTCCAGATCACTGACCACTTCATCAGTCATTCTTCAATACTACTCCCAAAACTCAGTCTACGATAATATGATTTTAAAAGACCACAGGCCCCAGGAGACTTCAGTGATCCAATGCCTCCTGTGTGTATAGCTAATGGAAACACCATGCAGAAAGGTGCTTCCATCATTCTGATATGCTGCACATAAGTTTTATTTGTAACATTACAAATAAATCTGGTTGCCACCGGATTCAATTTAAAAATTTCCTTTCATTCTTTCCTTAAGGTAGTTTGGGATAAAAAAAATTCCTGATATATAACTGTTTCAACTCAAAAACTTAGCTTTTATCTAAAGTGAATAAATTATCTTTTTAACTGTCTATTTTCTAAATTTGCCAGTTGATGGTAGAATCTTCTTAAACAATAAAAATCTCCAATATTCAAACAAAAGGAATCTGATCTATATCAACAAAAATCATAGAAATCACCATTTCCAAATAATAAAAATACTGAGAAAATTAAAAATACATTTAAACACTCATTTAAAAGCAGAATAACTGTATCAATGCTCTTATGACATTTTGCTTAGTAAAGAGTTATCAGATTTAATAACCATCCCACAGCCAGTTTTAAATATTCACAACTTTTCTAGTAGGAGAAAAACTACCTGTCCAGGGCCTTTCAGCTAGAAACAGCTCATAAGAACCTGGGCATTTGATATTCTATAAAATGACTTCATTTCCATTACAATACTTGATTTTATTAATTTGCTCAATACATATTTTTTAAAAGATTCCACCAACAGGAATCTCTTTTTTCTATTTCATGTAACCGTGAATGTTCAAAAACAATTCATCTATTATATTTCAAACCTTTCAGACAGAATAATAACCAAGAAATATATAAGGCAAGTTGGGAAGAAATTCTTTTTAAAAAAAAAAAGTTATTGAATTTTAGACTCCAAGTATTGGGGACTAAAAATGACATAATATGTTTAATTCTTAAACAGATATTCGAAAAAATTAGTCTGAAAAAGTATAAGGATGTTATTGGTGTGAGGAGAATGTAATTTTTGAAAGAAGTGGTCTATTTAATGATGAGAATAACACCTCCACAAGCAATCACCACACATTCTTGGCTCTGCAGTCCAAAAGTGAGAATTTCACCATCAATTCTTTCAACCACTTGGCTCTGGCAAAAGTGGCTGATAAAATGACCAAATTACTTTCATGATGATATAAGCCAAGTTCTCACTGCCACTGGGTTATATGCCATTTATCTGGGAATAAAATAGAGGAAATAGTAACCAGAGTTTTAATTTACTATGTCCAAATAACTTATTTACATTAAGGAATTTTGTTTTCAAACATGACTTTAGACACCTCACTGTGCTCTGAATACTATTTTGATTTATTATACGAGTAGATAATGTTTGGTTTTATTTTCAACCAATTGAAGTTGGTTCAGTTAGGGTTTAGAATAAACTAGACATTTTCAGAAGATGGTTCACATGTCTTTCTCTGAACTGCTATAACACCTGTGGTTGAACACATACACTTATTCCTTAAATGTTTCATATGTGTAATCCTTGATTTATCAAGACTCCATGTGTTCTCTGCTGTTTCATACTTCCATAATCTAGAGGAAAGTCTCTAAGGAACATTTCTGAGCTGCTGAAACGTGTACAATAGCATGCTGTTTATGTCATAGTTCCTTTACTGCACAGACTTATTTGATGTCACCCAGTACGACAACCATTGTATGCTTGAATTACATGCTCTTACATGTGAATTGCTGTTACCTGGCAGTGACTTAGACCACTTGACTACTGAAAGAAGTTGCCTCTCGCCTAGTTGATTAAGACTCGTCAGCAAAGAACTGGAGGTGTCAGGTTTTGTGTTGTCGTGCCCTGCAAAGACCACATCAGGTTCGATGCTCATTAGCAGGTTGATGAGTGGGGGGATCAACTGTATTTCTTGGCTTGGTGAAAAAGTGATTCTTTGGCTCAGGGTTTGGCTTTCATTTGAAATGCCCACTGGCTGGGGGAGAGCGACCCCTTCTAGGGCTCTCATGACTCTGACTTTATTGAACTTTTTAAATTTTCGACCTATAGAGAAGGAAAAAAAAGAAGAAAAAAAGTTCACGTAAATACAAATGGACTGAAAATCCTAGCAATGCATTTTCTTAAGTCTTATAACCACAGCGTTATCAACTTTAGCACCAACCTAATAAAATGAGGTAAAAATCCAAAAGTTAGGCCTCAGAGTTGGAAGACATGGTAGGGACATTCACTGGATGATGGAGTGTGTATTATTACTCCAGGATGCAGCAGGCAGGTATGAAAAGATGAATGGAAAGGCAAGTCATTCCAGTAGAGACTAAGCTCAATCTTCTGATGAGATTGCCTTCTAAAAGCTAATGCTACAGATTACACTAACTGAAACGTAGTTTCTGGTGGTCATTGAGTCTTCCTTTGGGCTGTATTCTTTTAAGGATATGCATATATTCTCAAAAATATTTAATACAACTTCAGTGAGTTCCCAGATCTCTTGAAATCAATCCATGGACTATTATGAGAACTAAGAGACCACAATTAAGAATACTTTTTCTAAATTAAGGGGAACAGAGTTTGTGCCTTTGGGTCTATGTTGGGTGGACATAGTTGTATTTCTGGACAATATTTAGAATTTCGATCTTGGTGAATTACAGTGTGTTAGGAAGGAAAAAGCCTGATGGTTAGGTGAATAGAATTTGCCTTGGAGGAGAGCAGGGTGCTTATTCAGGTTGTTACTTCCCAGGTGTCTTGGGGTGGATTAGTAGAAGTCTTGGTGACCTGAGGATAGGTTGGATCAGCTCCAGTTGCTCTGTGTCAGGCAGGAGCTGCTTATCAGTATGAAGAGCTGAAGGAGGCCTTGTGACTGTTCATAGTGATCCAAACAGAGGTTTAAATCAGCTCACTTTCGTACCTGATCTGGCTCATAGACAACTATTCAGCTCACACAGCACCAGCAGCTGTGAAAACATCTCTGAATAGTTAGGTGCAGTAGTCTGTTAAAGCCGAGTTGCAGCTGCTGCCTTTGGATGAGGCACGGGCACTCCGGTGTGCCCAGTTCCCGCCAGGGAACTGACCACTGGTCAGAGGCCAGTGGTCAGTTTTCCTAAGTCTTGCCACTGTACCCAATTAAGTTACATGATGGTCTCTGTAAGCATACATCTTTGCAACGTCTAAGCTCAGTTATCATCATAAAGAAACAGGTTGTTCTCTAAAATCCCAAGTAGCTGAGCAAGTGACAGGGAAATCACTGTTAGAGTCAATATATAAAAAGGATTCAGAATTGAGTGCAGAAAGCAAATGGGCTTCCTTGGGAAGGAAGGGAGTGGTGACATTTTGGGACTCTCCACTGTATGTTAGGAATTTACATCTGATTTACTCATTTTCTTTATACAATTCTTTGCATTTGTAATAATCAACTGCTTAATATTTAATGTCCTAAGTCAAATATCAGGGTTTCAAAGTAAAACTTAATATACAATGTTTGACTCAAAAAATCAAATTTAATACTTTCATTTAAGATATATTGTTTTTAGATTTATACAGATTTTCTGGAAAGCTACATAGGTTGAATATATACAATAAAAATTTCTTACAGTTACCTGATCCAGGTCAGTTTGTACATTACTGGTATAGCAATTCAAATCATAAATATTAAATGTCATACACTAAAAAACCAAACAGACAATAGTTTAAAATTAAGAGAATCATATCAATTCCATTCTCATCATATAACCATTTAAAAATTACTTTTGGGCTGAGCATGGTGGTAAATGCCTAGCCTATAATACCAGCTACTGGGAAGCATAGATAGGAAGATCTCAGTCTGAGGCAAAAACCTGAGACCCTATCCAGGAAATGGGCTGGGGGCATGGCTCAGGTGGTAGTGTCTGCCTAGCGAGCAAGGCCCTGAGTTTAACCCCAATAACTACCAAAAGAAAATTTTAAAAAACATTTCATTGTGATTGATAACACAGTAACAATTAAAAATGTACAGCTAAACAAATCATTATAATGTGAATACCCAGATCAGGAGGTAGAAACTGCCAGCATGCACCGCATCCTTTCCAAGCCTATTCCTCCTGGCCGACGGTAAGCAGCATCCCGCCTCCTGTGGCAAGGGCCCTGAGTTGGCTTTTCCCCCCAGTTTACTTAAATTCACTTTCCCTTTTTCATACTCTTGAACTTCTGCCCATGGTCCAGTCTTCATCAGTTCCAGGGAAAAGGGGGAAGCACATATGATAACAGAAGAGCCAGAAAGGAGCTGATGTTTGAGCTGCGTAATGTGCATTTGTCTATCAGTGGACCCTTGGAACTGATATTAGTATTTCCATTTTAAAGAAGAGGCTTCTGAAGCTCAAGTTACTTGCAAGTGCCAACAGTAAAAAGGTGGCAGAGCGGAGATACTAGTCAAGCCTGTTGTCTCTATTTGTTCTCTCTCTCTCAATCTTGAAACACTTACTGGCTTCAGGTGCCAGGCACTGATTAAGATTCTGAGATCATAGTAGTGAACAACAAAGTGCCTTCTTTCATTGAGAGTGACTTCCAGGGAACATGGCGACATAAGCAGTAAGGCCAGGGAAGGTTTTCTGATGGCAAAGGTAGGTCCCATTGATTCCCTTTCCAAAGGCTTTTATTTTGAAACCTGCAGACTGATGATTCCAGGAGCTAATCAAGCAATGCATATCAAAGGAGAATTTTGCACACTGGGGGAGTTATTTTTAAGAATTGAAAAAAAATGTATAGTATTATTAGGAGATATTTTCTTAAAGTGCTAAATTGTTATAATCTTGCCAATTCTGCAATCTACCTCTTACCATGAATATCAGTTTGTTCTTTCAAAAATACATTGTAAGAAGATGATAACTTCCTTCCATCTACCGCTTTTGAGAGTATGACATATTGAAACGAGTAAACTTTGGGCTGGCCGTATCTGGGTGTGAGTCCTATCATAAAAAAAACTGACTACATAGGGTAGAGGATTTTCATGTCTAAGTACTGATTTACTCATTTTTAAATTACAGGATATAATATTTACCTCACAAACCCACAGTTAGACTAGGTAGGATAAGGTGTAAAGTTATATGGGACAGTGCTTGTATACAACTTTCAAATTACCTTTGAAAGTTAACTGAAAGAAGTGAGAGAGGAAGGGAAACTATAATTTTGCCTGGTTTGCACTTTCTGGTAATAACAAGTGTTCCTAATCACCTATCTCTTTTCTCCCAAACCCTAACACACAAAGGCATCTATGGTCATATGTGAACAGTGCGGGACTAGAAAAGTTTAAGAATGATCTTTATCTTCCTTGGTAAATTGCACAACTTCTTTCTTTCTATGGACTATGAATCTCTAGGAGAATAGTATTAATGTACAGTGCTCCTAAAGTATATTTTAATACTTTAAAAAGATATTTTATTAGTGTATATTAGTTTTGTGACATTTCCAAATATATTTACAGTGTACCTTGTTAGATTCACCCCCTCCATCATTCTCCCACCTTCCCATCCACCCCTTCTTAAAAAAACTTCAACAGGTTTTATTGTTCTATATTAGTACAAGTATATTAAGTACATCAACCATATTCACCCTCCTTCACCCTCTCCAATCACCCTCCTCCCTCCGCCAGCACCCACCCCGAACATGACCTGTTTTATATCCTGTCCTTCATTTTTTAAAGTGTATATTCATTGTTCAAAGTACCATTTTTTTCCTGTGAGATTTGCATTTGAGATCAAGCCTATGATTTGGACCTTGTTATTTTCATTGTCTAGCATTTGGTCACAAATTTTTCTCTTAGCAACTTAAGTAAAACTGTAATTCCTTTGGCTGTGTAATGTTATTAAATATAGCTGACCACAATTCTCTCCTACATTGCATGACATATGAACTGTAAAGACACGTGTCCATCTGCACTGATCTGACTCTTAAATTGCCTTTGCTCCATCATAAGCTACAGTAGGACCTAGGAAGAATTGCTCTCTGATATTTCTGCTGCAGTAGGCAAGATTCAGTTAACGTCCAGAGCTCAAAAGATGCTGAAGTTAGATATGTAAGTTTAGCAACTGCACACACAGTGGTATCTCACATCAGATTCCCAAGGGATAACAATATTAAGAGAAAAAAAAGTTAAAGTTTCCCCATCCTTAACTGTGACCTTCACTAAAGGTATCACTTCCTCCTCGTCTTCTTCAGTGTCTAGTGCTGTCTAAATAGAGGTCTGCCAAGTGAATGAAAGAGTGCTGCCTTATGTCTTCCTGAGCTCCCATTCTGATAGACTCCCCATGGTTATTCTCTCTCTCTCTCTCTCTCTGGTGGTACTGGGGTTTGAACTCTAGACAGACAATCTTACCACTTAAGCCACTCCCCCTTTTTGCTTTAGTTATTTTTCACATAGGGTCTCATTTTTATGCTTGCTTCAACCTAAACTGCAATCCTCTTATTTATGCTTCCTAGGTAGTTGGGATGACAGGCATGCACCACAATGCCCAGCTTTCATGGTTGAGATGGGGTCTTGCAAACTTTGCCCAAGCCAGCCTCAAACCACAATCCTCCTGATCTCAACCTCCAGAGTAGCTAGGATTACATGTGTGAGCCATCTGCAGTTAGCCCCTTGTTATTCTCTATGGTGTACTTGATTCCTTCAAGGCACACAACCTTCCCCCACCAGCATAACCCTATGCCTATCATAAGGATAGGGACCCAGTCTGTTTTATTCACCAATGCAGATCTGAAACTTTATAAACTGCTGAGTTTTCAAAGTTGTTGTATTGACCTAACCTACGAACTTGAGGTAAGAATAGCACATAAAGTACTAAAAGAGAATGTGAATAGCAACATGCCATTGTTTTTATCCTCATATAGTATATTCTTTCAAAGAAGTCATTGCTACTCTTCATACTTATGAGTTACTACAAAACAACATAATAAACACTTCTATAGAACATCATAGCATTGTAATTTTATCACTTATTGAGAAAACAGAAAATGGCAAAAAAAAAAAAAGCTGGGCACAGTGGCTTATACCTATTAGCCAAGTTGCCTGGGAAGTGAAG